GCTCACTGTCTCCTATAGAACAACAACATTCTTACTATAATGTGTGTGTTTTGGTTGCTCACTGTCTCCTACAGAACAACAATATTCTTACTATAATGCATGTTTTTTGTCTTCTCAATGTCTCCTTCCACAGTTTCGGTCCAAGCATCAACAAAATTGCCCAGAATAATAAACTTGACCCAAGGAGTTTCCTAACAGGTTTAGATATTTGAATTACCTTCCATGGGTAATCAAATGCACCCATGGGCTTAATGATAGGCCAACAGGAAATAATATTTGTTAAACCCACGACTTAAATCTTATTATACATTACACAACTTGGGTGAAATATTAAAGATAAAAGTAAACATGAAAAAAATTAATCTTTTATTTGTGTTTTACTTCTGCCATGCCCACTTTTCATACTTCCCTTACCCTGCTAAATTACTGTCAATTGGACAGGTATGTCTGTTAGTAATTATAAAAAGGTTTGTAGTATATTATTTCCTATGAAAATCTGCTATTTATAAACATTGTTATTGATTACATAGGTTATTGCAATGTTGGATTTTATGTATATTTAGCACACACACACACACACACACACACACAGAAGAAAAGTTTCACTACAAAGTTCTATTCCTATACACCCATATCCTTTGGACAGTAGATATCCAAATTCAAGATTTTTTAATTGGCTAGATATTTGTAAATGACCTAATATACCTCATTTTCTAAAGCAATATTTTTAACTGTGTAGTATGGGTTTAAACACCAAATAAACATTGATTTTTCTATCCCGATGCAGAATCTCTTACTTGCCAGTCAGAGTGATGAGGCAGAAATTAAGATTGTGGACTTTGGGTTTTCCTGTCTCAAGCCGTTGACCAGTGAGCAGCCAATGCAGACACCCTGTTTCACTTTAAATTATGCTGCTCCTGAAGTTTTAAAGCATGCAGTAGCAGCTCCTGCTGGCAGTGGGGTGGGGTACGATGAATCTTGTGACCTGTGGAGCCTTGGAGTAATTTTGGTAAGTTTTCTAATGAACCTTATGTGGCACGTGCACATTTTTTTATAAATATTAAATGCATAGCTGTTGTGACATGAGTATGTATGTTTTTGTTTAGCTAGTTAAAACAACTTTTCAGTATTTAAGTAGTTAAACTCTTCCTATAAGTTACCTTGTTAAATGTTGAAAGTTGGTGTCCACCCAAATAGTTAAACTGTTCCTATCTGTTTCATTGTTGCATGCTTAAAGTTAATGAAACATTGGATCCAATAGGCCTAAATTTGTAACAAAAAATCATGCTAGGCTGCAGATGTTACAGACAAAATATAGTAACATTTCATTCAGAGTGAAAAGTTATATTTATCTGTACTTGATTTAAAATCTGCTAAGCACTAATTAAGAAGCATGTTTAAAAAAAATCTGAAGGCTAGAAGGATTTTTATAACATAAGACCTGTTGTTTCCATTGCTTTTTCATCTTTATGCAGCTAACAGTTTAACAATAACTTTTTGCACTGCATATAGAACAGCATTTTAAACAAACTTTTAGCTGTCATTATTTCTAGCCCAGTTGGTGGCTTTTGGTATTGAATGGAAAGTCTTCTGGGTAGTGAATTGTAGCAGACAAAAATTAAGTCCAACCCACTAATTTTTACCCACTTCTTATTTGAAAACATTAATAATTACTTAAGAGATGTATGGGGGGGGGGCATTTAGTTTATATATGATTTTTGTCATGAATATTAGAACTATTATTCTTAGCTGGTGTAGAATTTGCAAAAATAAAAATTGGTAATTTGGCAACTTTGCATTTCAACAATTCTCTAAAATCTTAGATTAAAATAGAAATATATTTTTTGCTTTTGAAATAATTTTCTTGCTGAATATGGCTATTTTTTTTATTTATTTTTTTAATGGTGTGATGGACTATGGCTCCATCAAAATGCATGGCATTTTAAATTATCTCGGACAGTTTTGATTAAAGATTCCTTATTCCTTATTATACAACAAGAAGTGGGAGAAACAAAGATTCATGAGAGACTTAAAAGCTTAAAATGTTATCATAGAAATTGTAGATTCATTACATCACCTCAGGCTTTTCTGCCCTTGTGTTGTGTGTGGCTTTTCGTAAAAGTATTCAAACTAGACATTCCTTTCAACTTTTTCTATCCAATTTAAGAAAACGTAACTACGGTCTTGCTATTTCAGTTCCTGTCTCACAACCTCTCATAACTAGCAAATTATCTTGGTAAATAAGTTATAACCAGTTTACTAACATTCTTGTAAATGAACTGGCTAATATTGGCAACACAAAACTTTTCCTTAATAATACCCTGACTATTGGTTCGTCCAAAACTAATCTTAAATAAATATCGGAGCCTACTTAAAAAGAAACAGACAGTGGTATGATGAACCCATACTAGCTAACATATTCACCTGTCCTATGTAATTCAAACTGTACAGAAGGTAAGTTCATAACCCTTTTTATTCTGTTCTGTAAACAAGAACATATTTCTTGGATCTGTAACTCACAACAAACACTCTTGTATTACACTACAATAGCACCAATTTTTACAAACAAAAACATTCACCAATCAGATAATTTTTATCCCTACACTTTTGTTACAAACTTACTCTATTTCTTTACTCACAAAACATAGTTCACAACCTCTGCTCAATATATTTAACACTCAGCTTTGGGATTCCATTCTGCAAGAATTCCTGAAATGCAATGGCAGTCCTCAATCTCTGCTAGATAAAGCTACCTGTGCCATTTTCTCTGACAAGTTTGTCCACTCATTTAAAACACCTGTCATGCTTAAATACTCGATCTATTACTTATACCATTTGTTGTTAAAAAAAAAGCTTGTTTTCAGAGCATAGTTTAATACAATTATAAGCAATTTATTCTAAATCTATTTTTAAATGTTTTTTTAAACCCTCTCTATAACTGCTTGCCAACCTCTGACTATTTGGTAGCTGTGAGGCTTACTGTATTGGTTAAACAAAACACCTTTTTTTAAAATGTAAGATCATGAATATATGAGGTTATCAAGGAAGATTGCTAAAACACTAAACAATTCTAGCTTCTTTTTTATAAGCTAACACAACAAAGACCCAGAACATATGATTATCTGATTTGACGTTACTTTTATTGAAAAAAACCTTGTCGGTTTAATAACATCTTGCTACTATTAACAGTATCATTATTCCAACAGGTTCTAATTCTCTAATCCTTCTTGTATTAGGTTTGTTTACTGTGTAATGTTTCTTGTTTACTTCTTCCATTCTACATAATTTGTTTTTCTTTTATTTAGTATACGATGTTGTCAGGTAAGGCACCTTTCCAGTCCTACAGTCGAGAAGCAAGCGCCGCAACAGTCATGCAACGAATCCGAGAAGGAGAATTCTCCTTTTCCGATTCTGCTTGGAATATGGTTTCTCAACAGGCTAAGGATGTGATAAAAGGACTTCTCACGGTAAATCCTCAACAGCGGCTCACCATGAGTGAACTTCGGGCACAAGCGTGGGTTCTAGGACAGAATCGTTGCAGTGTAACTGACACTCCATTAATGGCACCTGGCATACTCAGTTCGTTACCTTCACCACGTGTTGCAGACACTGCCCTTAGAGCAACATTTGATGCCTTTCATATGGCTGCTTGTGAAGGATTTCGTCTTCTAGATGTATCTGCAGCTCCCCTAGCTCAAAGGAGAAGACAAAAGAAAAGTTCCACAGATATTCATACAAGCTCTTTGAGCAGTAGCTCTAGCCAGGGTTCCCTTACAAATGGTCCTCATACTAGCTCTACTTCCACCCAAGTGTCCACCCCCCAAAAGATGGCAGACTCTACTATATCTTATGGGTTTGTTCCTCATAGAGACAATTCTGTTAACAGTATTGATAGCGTCTTTACTTACCCAGAATCCAAGGTGACAGCCTACCTCTCTCAGTTTTCCTTTGAAGCAGACTCAAGTACAGATCTTGGCCAGCAGTTTGTACCAACCAAGAGGGCTTACAAGCATGAAGATAGATCTGTTGTTTTAAGTAACCATGGACCCATAACCAGGTCTAAAGCAAAATCTCAAAAGAGAGTGAGTGAAAATGATTGTATTGTTCTTGAAGAAAAGAAAGCTTGTTCAACAGATATAAGCTATAAGCAAGCAAAACGACCCCGTCTTGAAACTATTGTTATAGATTAGTCTAAGATTTAGAATAGTTTACTATTTAAATGTAATATATATATA